AGGTGATCCAACGTCGGTGGTCAAACGATCCAACATTTCGCCCAACATTTTCTCGCGCAGATCGAAAAGGGAATGGGCAGTAGGTAATATTAATGTTGCTTAAAAACAGTAGGCACACCAGACGTTCACGATGAGGGCTGCATATAACGATGCGCCACCACATTTCGATCGGAGAAAACGAAAGGCAATCGCCGCCGTAGCTATAAATGGTCTCAATTGAAAGCAAAATCTAGAGTCGAAGCGAGAATCGAAGCGAGAGTCGAAGCAAGAGTCGGAGGGAGAGTCGAAGCGAGAGTCGAAGCGAGAATCGGAGCGAGAATCGGAGCGAGAATCGAAGCGAGAGTCGGACGGAGAGTCGGAGGGAGAGTCGAAGCGAGAGTCGAAGCGAGAATCGGAGCGAAAGTCGAAGCGAGAGTCGGACGGAGAGTCGGAGGGAGAGTCGAAGCGAACGAAATCAACCCGAGAAGTCAACAGCAATGCTATGATTGAATTTTGGCGGTCTTTTACTGACTACGCTTGCGCAGAGCCAACAATGTTGGCTGAGGTGGTCAAACGATCCAACATTTCACTTTACACTTCAAAACAAAAGAATTGTTTGACGTTGGCAGCCAACATTTTTTACCTCAGTGACATTTCGTCCAATATCGAAATTTACGATGTTGGGTGACCCAATAAGGTGGTCAAACGACCCAACATTTCGCCCAACATCATGTTGTCTTGAAAGAGTCTTGAAAGTAGATGTAAAACCAAAGGGGGCGTAAAGGAGCATACGCCCCCTCTCACAAAGTCATCTATTTATCGACATAAACGGTTTTAGGATCGAATCTTTTCTCATTTAAATCTGTTAAAAGCAACATAACGTTTAGGTTGTGTCATTTGCTGCCCTGTCACGAAAATCTCTATTTGTGTTACTTTTTCACCGGGAATTAAAAAATGACAGCACCCGTATGCGTTTACCAAAGAGTTTGAATAATATTGGTTTAAAAGCTACTAAAAAATTGTAAGATTCATTGAAGGGACGGTGCAATGGAGAACGAAGGCAATTTGGGCTGTGGGCTGAGCAGATCGATTTCGATTTTCGCACTGGCAAAAAAGTCACCGATATGGAAAATGCTGCTTGAGAAAATTGCTTGTCCAAAAATTTCAAAATAGATGAACAATACTAAAAAATGATTTTCCAAGTCTGAAGGGCGTAGCCTGCGTCACAGACCAGACGCAGAATAGAAGGGCATGAAAAATCCTTTTTTAGTAAAATTTATTTTTTTCCAAACCCCAGTTTTTTCGAGCTGGCAACGCCACTGACTGGGAGATTCTGTCTTTCCACACTTTGTCAAATCTTTCCTCTTGAAACAAGCTTTCAATAAAGCTAGCGACAATTGTTTTCATATATTTTGTGCGCTTGTTAGCTGCTTTTAATCCATTCCTTATTCTTTGGTCTTGAGGTTGATTTACTTGAGAGAAAAATCTTAACTATTCAGCACTCGAACACAGTAGAGAACTCGAGCCTTGAAAAGGACTTTCTGCATGTAAATCTTGATATTCATTGTCAGAGATAAAGGTCAAATAGAGCGGTGCGGTACCTCTTAAGACGCGTCAATGAAAGTTTAGCAAGTACTTAGATACCATAGTAGATAAGACCATGGCTTGCTAAGAACAATAGTTTACAATGATACAATGATACAATTCACAGAGGTACTTTGAACTCACCTGCTCACGAACTGCATTATGTAACCATCAATTATATAACAGAAGACAGAAAACTGGCAACGAAATCTAAAATCAACACAAAGATGCGTCATTATACATATAATCCTAATATAAGAAAATAGTATACTCGCTTATGACATTTTACGGAGAACACCTCGAAAGAAGTGCATTTCTCATTGCCCTTTCGTGCAAAATTCACAGTATGTGTGGTACAGTGGGTAGTTATAAAGATACAATTTTTTTTGGGGGGGAGGGGGGCAGCCCTGATAAACCAGTGTAACAACAGCCATATCTTACAAAATAAAAGTATTTTAGTTATGCAACTTAAGTTTCTTTGGGGGGGCAAGGCCCCCAGTATCTCGGTCTTTGAGTAGTTAAGACAGCTGTCCACTTGATGTGGTAATACTCATAAATTAGATTGAATCTGAAGGATTCCGTGACTTTCCTGTAACAGAACGCTATGAAACCATTGGGCAAAGGGCGTTTCGAAAATATTCCAAAGTTGGATGTATAAAACCAATCAGTCGATTCGATCAGTCGATTCTTAAAACGAAGTCAAACTAATCCGCTTTTGCCTTGCGTTCACACCACTCTGCTATGAAAACGGAGACGTTTGAAAACGCAAATGAAAACGGAAACTTTCGAATACCAAAAAAGGAGACACCAAAAAAGATGTGAACACCAAAAAAGGATACATTTGAATACGCCAACAACGGCAACAAAGTATGTGCTTTCTAGCACACCAAATCTTGAAAATTGAGAATTCACAATGGACTGGTAGCTGTTACAACAAAGGTTTTCACGATTTGCTTTTATTTAATCTAATTCATAAAGACGCCAATTTGTTGAGGATTCGTGAACGCCTCTTTTCCAAAATGAGGCCACCAACAGCGTTTTTGTTGGAGCAGTGTGAACACTTAGGCCTGGTTCAAACGTCGCGCTTCTCATGTGCCGAACCTAATTCGAGAATTGAGTACATGAGGGGCGCGACGTTTGAATCAATTTGGTACGGCAGATTTAGTTAGAAGCGGCACACTAGTTTGGATCGGCAGAGCTTGCCGAGCTGCACGGCTCCAGCACGGCACGGTTTCAAGCGTCGAACTTGTCATGTACCGAACTCAATGCATAATTATATTTAATTTATTTTCCTTCACAGAATTCATTTCTTTCTTGGAGGGCGCATGCGTTTCAAACAAATATTTGAGATTGCGCGCCTTAACCAAGATACTTCATGTAACAATCCCAAAACCCATTTGGCGCGACATGATTAAGTTCGACGTTTGAAACGGGAGTCGCGCTAAACATGCTAGTGTCGCTCCAAACAGAGTTAGGTTCGGCACATTAGAAGTGAGTCGTTTGAACCAGGCCTTACCGTATTCAAATCGTATTCGTTTGAAAACGGATAAGTGTGAACGGACAGCGTTTTCGTCAACGAAAACGGAGTGAAAGGCACCTGTAGAAAGATGCTATGCTGCTATGGAAAGAGCCTTAGAAGATGCACAAGTCATGGAGGGCTTCTTAAAGATACACAAGATCTATATAATTTCCAAACAAATCAATTCATCAAATTTGTCAAATGAATATAGTTGATGCTCTTGTCCTTCCTTTTCTATTTCCTGAAAAAACTCTTGCAATGGCATTACTGGCTGTATCCTTTTATAAACCTGTAAACTAAGGAACTTTCAACCCTCCAGCCCCGCTGAGATGTTTTAAGTTAAAATACCATCACCCCCCTTTATTTAAAGAAAAACAAGACACCGCAACAGTCGAAGTCTCTAACACTGTGCTTTCAAACGGTGCAGTATAAGTTGGATGCATTGGTTCCATTCGGGAATCAAAATGAGGATGAAGACAGTACTGAAATCTTCTTATTTTCAACAGCACTCTAAACAACGAGAACTATGCACTTCAACAATTCTTTAACTTGTAGGTAAAAAAGTGTAGATAAAGTATGCTAGGGTATTAGTTTGTCGTGTTTCCACTTGTCTGTGATATTTTAAATTTTGAAGTACGAGTGGCCTATCTTATTTGTCACTATCAAAAATTTTGGAAAAATATGTCAAAGCAAGGGGAAAAGTTCCTAAAACACCAGATGACAGCCGTTCAATTACAGCAGCATTTCTCAAAGTATTGTCAATACAGCATTTTCGATAAAGCATCATAGAAGAGTAGACTACTGATTTCTTGGAAATATGTTCCAATGGGAACAGCCCGGCTCTATGATGAAAGCCACTTGCGAGCACCAGCATTGAAAATAAATTGGTAACAGCAAAAACTGCTGCAGAAAGCAAAGCCATCTTGCCCTGAGGGGAAAGAGGATTAACGCTAATAATGTTCCCTTACGATGAGAAAGTATGGGTAAACTAACCCCGTATTACCTTTAATTGATATACTATCACGAACCAATATATGGTTATAGTCATAAGCAATCTATGTCACGAACATTGCAACATAAATACACGAATTTTTTATAAGAAACAAAGGTCCGGTGCTGGTAGGCAGTTTCTTAAATTTTCTGGCTATTTTTCTATCAAAAGTTCGGAAAACTAAAACTGCTTTTTTCAATTTGGGTAGGGTTGTTTCGAAAAATTGAGCCTACCGTTTCTTATAACCTGTTTCTTTTAAAAAAATGTCCACCAAAAGGGCGTAGGAGCATGATGACGGGGTTCCAGAACAAATATATTTGGTACACCTGCGACTACAGATCAAAAACATCCCACACAAGATTTGCAAAAGTCAATCACTGAGAAGACAGATGTCGGCTAACCTAAAATGAAATCCTTATGACGAACAAAGCATCATTAAGGTCGATGTTTGTTGCGATATTTTCACCTTCAAAGGAAACGAAAACATACTTTAGCTATGGGTCAAGTTTGGTAGGGTGCAAATATGAAGACGTTAGCCGCTGTATTTATTTGTAGACCATTTCAATAAAATAGTGTTTCAGTAATGTTTCGAAAAACGTGGGCGCATAGAAAACCTTTCGCGAGGCGATTATAGATTATGTTACAAATTTGTCTGCAAAATGGAGGTCAAACAGCATAACAAAATCAAAAGATACACGAATAGTAGAGGTTTTTGAAGAACCTCCAGGATGGAATTGCGAAAATTCTATCACGTTGTTCGCACCGTACTCACTTTACTCGACAGTCTTCAAATTAAGAATCAAAACAACTTTTGACAATTATTGCGATCTCAAAAGCAAAGGCCATAACGAAAACAAACTAAAGAGAAACATGTAGTGGCAGCGATATGAATTTCAGGTTTCATTTCAAAAACGTAGTAAGACAAGGTTTTTCTTGTCTAGTATATTTTCTGATTGCTCAAACTTGAGGAATGTAAATTTTTACAAATTTCAAGGGAGATGCCCATCAAACCTAACTTGTGCTAAAGTTTCTTTAGAAATTTCACCAAAATTAGTTTAAAATATCGACACGTCATAATCATTTTTGAGCAATCCATTTTCAGCGACTTGACCTGTAGACTCATCGGCATCCAGCATATCAATTTCTTCCTGTGAATGTCGAATTGGCTTTTTCGCTGGTACATAGGCGTTGATAGCATCTGGTAAAACATTAAGAGTCCGCTCAGTTTCATTTAGGTTCGCTAACACGGAGCCAGCCTTTACTTTGTTCAAGTCGCTTTCGGTTAGGGACCACGATTTCAACATTGCACCATCTCCGAAATAGGTTGCGTCAACTTGATGTTCCAATTGTAACCCGCAATCTTGAATAGGGTATTTTGAAAAGTATCTCGACAGCTCTTTTTCATCATTATCACACGTACCTTTGCCTTTGGTTAATTTCTCTGAAAATATGATATCATTAAACGGCTCGACGACTTTCCAAAGATTTTTTAACTGCACCAGTTGATTTTCGTCTATATTGAGTAGCCCAACAATTGTTAATGTTTCCGGGGTAGGATTTTGCAAGCAATAATGCAAAAGCTTTTCTTCTAATACCTTGTTACGTGAAGAAGGCTGAACGTCCCTCAATACACGAATTAAAAGCCTATTTAAAAATTTTATTTTGAAATGATTCATTGGATATCGCTCTAGATAACTCAAAACAAAATTTAGCAACTCGGAAAAGAAATGTTTTGATTTTTCGCGAATCCATTGAAGCAATGGCCTCCACAAGTCAATGAAACTATCTAATGGGTCACTGCTACCATTTTCAGTCAGTTCTTGAAGGTGATTTTGGGTTGGAATCAACACTGACTCTTTAAACAACTCAGGCAATAAGTAGCATCTGGAAAAAAGCAACATAAATACATGATACATGATACAAATACATGAATAACAAAGATAATATTGACTGAATAAGATTAAAAAAGCACACACAATATCTTAGCAAAAAGCAGTGCCTTCGAACAATAGCCTAAAAAAGGATAATATTTTTATCTTTCAACTGAAAATCTTATCAGCATGATTTGCGAAGCTACTTCCAGTTACCCAAATGATTGTTTATAACTATAATATTCGATTAGGAGATCATTCATCGACATGAAACATCATATCACGAGGAGTTGCAGGTGCCCAGTCAGCTGTTGAATGTTTGGTCGACAATTCATTGAAGATTTAAACTAAGACAATATCTAGCGTGTAGGAGGGATCGTAACTGAGATTAAGTAGTGGATATGCTTGAAACTACGATAAAGGTTAAGTTTTGACAGCAAGCGTCCAACATAAATTAACAATAAACCTGATGACTTGAGGAGAGCATAGCTTCTTTCCAAGCTCTGGGCTGATGTTGCTAATGACCTTGCTACTGCCAATTCCAGAAGGCCACTGCCCACACATGTACTCATTTAAAAATTTATGAAGGTTCTCTTGGAAATCTTTGTCCATGTAATTGAGATGTACATATGTTTTCTCCCAATAGTTTTCT